CTTCTGTGTATCCAGCCCCTGTTCACCATGAGTGTGCAGCAGCAGTACATCAAGCCCTTTTCAGAGGATGAATATGACCAACTCGCCAAAGAGTTTGAAGACAATGCTGTGCGTATTTCAGTTTGTTTTACCTCAACGTACTACAATTACTACAGTGTTACAGTATCTGCATCTCTAGCTGTTCTCTACTTGTTCTGTGACACTCAGTGTGAATCTGCCTCTGCAGAGCATGTCCTGTTTCACTGTGTAACCACACACCATTGTAAAATTGTAAATAATTTAATTTCACATCCAGTATTTAATACCACTAAATCCCGACAGACCAACCGTAACGTTTACACTCTGTCTGCTCCATCCTCAGCTCGCTGTTTAGTCTAAAACTTTGATCATTTTCTGTTGTTTTTGTTTTAGTTGATTTGTCATTAAAACCTTTTTCTTCCTTTGCGTGTAGGTCGCCATGCAGTTCATCATCCTCTACAGTTACGAGGACATTGTGACAGCCATGATCGAGGGTAGTTCTGGATCTGTTTGGAGGATCAGTCCCCCGAGCAGGCAGGAAGTCATTAAAGAGTTACTCGGTCCTGTTGACCTCACGCTTCGTCTGTCCTGGAATTTTCAGAGGTAAAACAATATTCTTCATCTAAGCAACATTAGAGTACATGTTTGTTAGAGAGGTACAACAGTTATTGTCTACAGCCATCTCTAAACAGTGAGGCTCATTTCAGCCGGCGGTGGTGGAGATTTTGTGTTACGGCCGAGAGGCTGTGGGTGTGGGTGTGGGTGTGGGCTCAAATGCAGACACAGAGGGAGCACAGTGCTTTATTTACAGTGCCTAGTTAACTTACAAAGCAGGAAACTATGAATGCTATGAACGGAGAACTATGAGCCAAACTATGAACATGAAACTCTGAGTTATGACTGGGTGCTAGATTTCATGGATGGATCCTGGGAATGGAAAAAGGGGCGGCGGCTTGGATGGAGGTACGCAGTCACTGTAATGAGGAGACAAGCAGTCTCCTGTGGATTAGACTGTGGTGGTCAGGGCTTACGTGTTGCAGGTTAAAGTGTCATGCGAGGAGGGGGTGTCCAAGGGGTTCCGGGTGAGGAGTGTCCAGAGAGGGTCCAGAAGATACTTGGAGTGAGGGACTTGGCAGGGAGGCAGGCAGGTGGAGTCCAATGATGGAAAGGAAGCAACCAGACGACAGAACCAGCGTCCAGGTGGAGATGTGAGTAGTTTAGCCTGGGAAGTGTGACTGCCAGGTGGGTCGTGAGTTAGCAGAAGATCTGGCAGAGGTCTGTTGTGAATGCTGGTCTTATATGCTGGTGACTTGATTGGAACCAGGTGTGGAAGCTGA